GGTGTTAATCCAGTTTTTCTGCACGAAGATTATGTTTAAGGTTACTGAAGGTGGGTAAATTGAAACAGCAGCGAATTTAATTTTATAAAAGTATTACTATTCTTTTGTTTGTACGCAACAAAATTTGAACCCAGCAATGCACTGCAACTGTTTCATTTAGCCAACGTCACCTTTTTTTCAAGCTAGAATCAGAGCCGAAAATTAACACTAAGTTGGTTCCAGAAATAGCAACACTGTTTGAACTAAACTATCCGTTTTAAATTTATACTAAAAAATTAAACCGATTAAAAATTCTATCACTCAAAAGTTTTTTCTGAATTGCAAAACAGAAGGCAATAAAGAACCTCTTTATTGGAAATTTTCTTCATTCTCTATTTATTCAGTTCTGTTAACTACTGCAACGAAATCAAATTTTAAGCTCTTCTAAGCTATTTTTTTGTTTGCCAGCAATTTTTGCTGAAACTGTTGTTGTCATCTTCGATTTAAAAAATTCAACTACACGAGTTTCTTTGATGATTTTACAGTCGATATTTTTTCTTGCATATTTTAATTTACAATTTTTTATAGAAATAAACGTTAATGTAATTTGGTTTTGATTCACACCATTTCATTTTTTTAATCTTTCAGAGGCCAGCACCAAGAACAACTGGATAAAAAAATTTCTTCCAGCGCAGTTTTTTTCCAAAGTCATCCAGTTTTCCAACTGACTAATTCTCAATCCCAAAAACAGTGCAAAGAATTTTCTCTAAAAGAGCACGTAACAACTCCAACGACAGATGGCTACTTTGGTTTAGATTTTCACAATGTTCAGTTGATGTTCAAAATGTTGACCAGTTAACCAGACAAAAGTTAGACGCTGAAGCTTCAAAAAATGTCGATAATGAAGATTTTTTTTTCAAGGTTATTCCATAATACTGCTCCTTATCGACTGATACCTGCCTACAATCTACAAGCAACTTATTGAACTTTTAAGCTTTATTTGCTTATCATTTTTGACAGAACATCGTTTGAGCAGTTATCACAGGTTTCACACCTTTAAATAAACGCTACATGCTTCTATTCCTTGTTTTTTGTTTTTTTACCGCAATTAATAACTTTCTCAAAATTAAACTGCAATATTTGAACAGTTCTAAAACAGTAGTAAAACAGAAATCGTTTAGGCAAAGAGAAGAAAGACAAATAATAAACCAGTAAACTATACTGTTTATTTAAAAAATAATTTTTTTTACTTTTGTTGATTTTTCTGACTGTTGTTCAAAAGGAAAAATCTAAAAAAAATCTTATCAAAATAATCTTTCGAATTTGAGAATGAGGAAAGAAAAATAAGTAAAATTCAGTTATAAAATAAACCAAAAACACTAGAATTTGGAGCAACTGTCAAACTACCAATAAAATTGTGCTATTTTATTATAGCACTGCACTTTTTTCAAAATAAAGGCCTCTAAAAAAGTGCTGTCTTGAATATATATGCTTGTTTATTCACTTATTTATTTATGTGATTTTATAATATAATATCGACGCTACAATACAAGTGTATAAGAAGATATTACAAATTAAGTTAAGTCAAAACTGTGCGAGGAAAATTACTCTTATCAAAAATACTGCAAGATGTAAAGTTCTGTTTTACTGATTTAAATTTGGTAAATCTACTGTCTCAATTGACTATCATTTGTCTAATTTGCTTAAGAGTAAAATTTCTCAAATCGCAGTAAACTAATAGACTGAAAAAAAGTGTAGTACGCTAAAACGACAACTTTAAAAATATTGAAAAAAAGGAAAAATGTTTTTGTAGTGTGCCGTAAACAGAGAATATAGCTTCAAAGTATCTTTTAAAATCCGAAATCGAAAAAAAGCTAGATAAGATATTTTTATTAAAGTCAAGAAAGAAATAATTGTTTAACCAATCAGTGAAATTGTACTCTATAAATTTTTTAGAATAGTTTTGAAGCGCCTTTATTAATTAAATTAATTAGAA